ATTTTCCAGATGACCTTCAAACAAGCAACTGGTGGAAGAGCACTGACGACCACCATGGCCCCAACCCAGAAGCCCTCCTTTGGGAGCAGCACCCTGGTCACTGTGGATATTGTGGTCCTTGTTGTCTACTTCCTGCTGATTCTGGCTGTGGGTTTCTGGGTAAGAAGTCTGTCTTTATCTGTCCCCTCTTTGCTATTGGTGATATAAAAACGGTTAAGATACTAGCTTTTGTTTTGAAACAGGAACATACTGAACCATGCTGGTTTTGTCCGTTGTGTTTACCTTTTTTTCTTGTGCAGCCTTTCTCATCCCAAGTTTATCAGTCTTCAAACTGTTTGAGTCACATGTACGAATGTCACAGATGGAAGTGAAAAAGCAAGTCAAACAGGCGCGAAGCGGGAACTGACTGAGGATGCATTAATGAATCTTGTAATAGAGAAAATTTGGTCATGTATGAAAAAAGTGCAACAGTTCAGTAAAAAAAAACAACATAAAACCATAACTACAATCTGTTAACGTATATTAAAAATTGATAAGAAATGTGCACGTTGTTATATGAGTTAAAGCCCTTCAGTTGTTAAAGCCCTTAATATCAGGGTTAGGGTTATTTAACTATATTTGATTATATTGCATTTAATGGTCACATGTTGTCATTATTCTTATTAAATATTATTAATAAGACTTGTGGTATATGAATGTAATATTTTAATCTAAGACTTTCATGGTTTTAAAACATAACATGTTTTTAACTGACTAAATTTCACATTCATTAAATTCTGCCATTCAAAAATTATGGACATAATTCTGAATGTCTTCTTTTTTTATCCAGCTTTATTTTCTCATAAGATACGTATAGTTAATTAGCGATTGACAATAAATGTATTCATTACATTTTGTCCTTGTGAATGTAATGCAGATTTTGCATTTCAAGCTGTCTTTAGAAATATACAGGATAAAACAGCAGCAAAACAATCTTTAAAAAGGTTTCCATAAATAAAATAAAATATGTCGGATCTGGCATGTGGTACAAGCCAGATGCACCACATGAAAAGATGCTTCCAGGCTTTATTTTTTTTTTAAAGACATGTTTTATAATACAGTATTGGAAGTATTTTTTTCTTGTCAGACTACAAGATAGAAGCAGGAGCTGTTAATGTATCAGCATTAATGGTTAACAAATCACATTATGACAAAATGAGAATAAAATTTATGGATTTTTTTTTATTTGCTCTCATCAAGTAATGGAAGTGACAGAGTAGTGAACCACAACCCAACTTTAGCTAAACATCATAAAGGGAAACAAAACTGGTATGATGTTCAAGAGCAAACTGGATACCTGTGTAACATCGAAACCCTTGGACACTAAACGACTTTGTTTTATTTTATTAGTCCATGTGGAGAACGAAGCGCAGCACAGTGGATGGATACTTCTTAGCTGGCAAGAGTATGACATGGTGGCCAGTAAGTAAAACACTATCAAATCTTTGAAAGAAAAAAAGATGGACTGATTTTCTGATTAAAACAGCTGAAGAAGAGCTGTTATCCACTTTTTTTTTTTTTTTAATGAGGCCAAGTTGATCTAAATCCTAATTTCCTCAACTATATTTAGGTTGGGGCCTCACTGTTTGCCAGTAACATTGGCAGTGGACATTTCATCGGTCTGGCCGGGTCAGGAGCTGCAGCAGGAATTGGGGCGATAGCTTACGAATGGAATGTAAGACATCATATTTAATGTAAAAAAAAAAAAAAAAAGAAAGCCTGAAGAAGAATCAATGTTAATGTCTTTGCATTTGTTAAAAAAAACAAAACAAAACAAAAACAAAACAGGGAATGTTTATGGTGTTGATGCTCGGATGGCTCTTCCTGCCCATTTACATTTCCTCCGGGGTGAGTTTTCCCACACACACCAACTTGCACAGGAGTGCACTCGTGGTGCGAGAGCGACTCCCAATACACTCTCTCCTCTCCAGGTAACAACCATGCCAGAATATTTGCAGAAGCGCTTCGGTGGAAGAAGAACGCAGTTATTTATCGCCGTCCTGTCCCTGTTTATTTACATCTTTACAAAAATATCGGTATGGCACAAATACAACAGGGATTTCTGTGTCTGGGTGGGAAAATTGCATAAACCTGCATGTATGAACTCAAATTGTTTACTGTGTTGTCTTTTTGTTTTGTTGTTGTTGTTGCGGTCAGGTGGATATGTATGCAGGTGCTGTGTTCATCCAGCTTGCTTTGAAATGGAACATCTACCTGGCCGTGGTGCTGCTGCTCGCGGTGACTGCCCTCTACACCGTAGCAGGTGACTTTTCTCCCTCCGTCACCTAAATTGTGTAAAACATATTGTGCATTTGCATGTAGGAGTCCCGTGCGTTGCGTCTTTTGTTTTGCGCTAGCTGTTGAAAGTGCCTAATGAGCCATGTGTCGTGTTCTAGGCGGCCTCGCTGCAGTGATCTACACTGACGCAGCTCAAACTGCAATCATGCTGGCCGGAGCTCTCACCCTCATGGGTTTTAGTAAGTCAGATGCTACTCATTTTGTCACTTCCCATTGCTTAACTTTACACGCCTATTTTTGTTTCTGAGGTTTTGTTGAGGTCGGAGGTTGGAATGCGCTGATGGAGGGATATTTCGCCGCCATTCCCTCGGTCCGTGTCCCCAACTCGACCTGTGGCGTCCCTCGAGATGACGCTTTTCATGTATTCAGAGACCCGGTGCTCTCTGACCTGCCCTGGCCTGGCGTCATCATCGGCATGTCCGTCCCCTCCATGTGGTATTGGTGTTCTGATCAGGTACCGCAATAAGTTTATTTTTGAACTCAGCCAGCCACATACAAAAACATTTCCGTGTCTTGAGGCTTTTCATATAATCATGATGCAAACTCTTGTGTACTTGCAATGTATTTTATTATTTTATCTGACATCCCAACGCCAAGCATCATAATTGAAAATGATGCCGTTTTCAAAACCTGCTGTTGTATTTAGTCCTCCTAAGCAAAAACTGTATTGCTTCAATTACAACCGCAGGTCTTTGGGGTGTGTTTCTACCAGCTTTGTAAAACCAGAGAGTGAAAACATTCAGTTCTTCTCTAAAAAAATATCACAAATTCATGGAGAGTCTCATTAAGTCTTGCTATGTATTAGCTTTAGCTCTGAGCTTTGACACATGAATACGCTGTCAACTCAAAGCATATTTATGTGTATTTAAGCAAATGATCCAAAGTACACAAAGCTGAAAACTGAAGACATTTGGTTGATCAGTGAAATACATTTTTCCGTTGTAGTTTTTTGTTTATTTTGAGTAAAGCAGAGTTGTATTATATAAAAAAGTAGACTTAATGCATGGTAGAGTATAAAATTGTATTTAAGAGGCATGATTTCTGGAATAAACATTTTATGATTGTAAAAAACAGGGATGTTTTTTCCATCTTTAAAAGACTAAACAAAAACTTCTATTTATTTATGTGCCAAGCTTTTCTCCTGGATTTAGCTCGTTGACATATTTTTCTGTTAAAAACTTTCCTCTTCTCAGTATTAGTGACCTAAGAAAAAAATGCACAGGCAGTTCAACTGATCATTTACTGACTTATCAGTTAAGTGACAACATTGAGTTACAGGATTGCTGTTCCCATTCTGATTTATGCAAAATAGATTCTTCCAATGAAGATCTCAGTCATTCATTCACCAAAGCCGGGAAGCTGAAATTCTCTCTTGGTTCCCTGCAGGTGATTGTGCAGCGCTCTCTGGCTGCAAAGACTTTGACCCACGCTAAGGGGGGGTCTCTCCTGGCTGCATACCTGAAAGTTCTGCCTTTCTTTGCCATCATGCTCCCCGGGATGATCAGCAGGATCCTCTACCCAGGTACAGATTGGGATGCGAGGGGATCAGTCAGGGCAGTTCCCTTTTTTACTGTGCTCACTGCATGATATTGTGTCTAGATGAAGTGGCGTGTGCAGACCCTGACCTGTGCAAGGAGATTTGTGGGAACTCAGTGGGCTGTTCGGACATTGCATATGCCAAACTGGTTATGGAGCTTCTCCCTGCAGGTGAGACGCTGTTTCTGCCGTTGCTCTCCCTCTTTCCCGTCTTCCTTTCGCACAGACGGCTCCCTACTTGCCGCTCTTCCTTCTCAGGACTGCGAGGGCTCATGATGGCGGTGATGATTGCTGCTCTCATGTCGTCTCTGACCTCCATCTTCAACAGCTCCAGCACCATTTTCACCATGGATTTATGGAAGAGCTTCAGATCTCGTGCTTCTGAATGGGAGCTCATGATTGTGGGGAGGTATGACTCACTGCGGCATCCAAGCGAAGAACAGAAACTCAACTTATGAAAATATTTTATTTTACAGAGAAGAAGAAATACAGCTTGATGTATGGTCATTTTGTCCATCAAACTCTCTATACACCAAAGTATTCATTCCCCTGGATCACTCGAAGTAGGGCATATTTGCAATGTTAGAGGAAGATAAGATACATTTTTTTTTTTTTTACTGATGAAAATCTGAAAAGTGCGGTTGATTTTACTCTATTACCCCTAAAAGGATCTGGTGCCACTATTTGCCTTCAGAAGTCATAACTAGCCAGCTTTGGTGCGGGAATTACAGATATTAGTTGCGCATTCTAAAAATCTCGAGTAGAATTAAGAATGAGACTTAAAAATTAATATTACAACACGCTTTCCATCCAACATAACTGAGTTTGACTTGTTTTATACCCACAAAATACGTGCGGCTGTAATGGCAGCAATAGGCGACTCGACAAAGTGTCGACTCTGTCATACAAATATGTATCGTATTCTTCAGTTTTTTTCTTTCTGAAAAATGTCAAATTCATTTGTCTTCCTTTCACTTCACAATTATGCATTAGACTTTGTCTAAAATTCCTATAAAATACATACATATTTGATATTGTGATGTAATAAAGTACAAATGGCACTTTTAATAGGCACTGCACTTCCAAAGTCAATTCTTTTCCAAATGTTTTCACCTGAATCCTTAAAAAAAAAAAAAAAAAAAAAGAAAGTTGCAGCTTAAAACCATGCATATAGATTCAGCATACAGCTAAATTGCTTATTTAAAGCATTGAACTACACGTTGACCCTGCAGGGTGTTTGTGCTCGTCCTGGTGGCGGTGTCAGTGCTCTGGATCCCCGTCGTCCAGGCCAGTCAGGGTGGCCAACTCTTCATCTACATCCAGTCCATCAGCACCTACCTGCAGCCCCCTGTAAGCATCATCTTCCTCATGGGCTGCTTCTGGAAGAGGACTAATGAGCAAGTGAGGAGCTTAATCATCAGACCGCATTTAAAAATGAGCCGTCTTGTTCCGATTTGCTTATGGGTTTGTTTTGTCACACAGGGTGCCTTCTGGGGTCTCGCGATTGGCCTCACGGTGGGCTGCATACGCATGTTGTTGGACTTCGTCTACCCTGCGCCGCTGTGCTTTGAAGAGGACGACAGACCCGGCGTGCTGAAATACGTCCATTACCTCTACTTCTCCATGCTGCTGTCCTTCATCACCCTGGCTGTGGTGGTTGTAGTCAGCCTGGCTACCGAGGAGCCCAGTCCAGAACAGGTGGAGCAGCATTCTGACCTTTTCTCAGCTGGTTCTTTGTTTGCAAACCTCACAGAAACTATATCATTTACTTATAGCACCACTAGGTGTCAATAATGTGCCAAGATACAGGCAGACTCCAGCCGTGGCATCTTCTTACTGCTTTGCTTTCTGAACAGATAAGTCGTCTCACTTGGTTCACAAGGTTTGATCCAGTGAAGACAAAAGAGCAAGAGATCCCAGAGGAACGCAGACGTACAGAAAGCAGAAATGGACAAGCCGTCGATCAAAGGAGAGGTCTGTCTCTGCTGCACATCTCCCAACTTCTACTTCCAAACTGCCTAGTTAACACTGTTTTTCACTGACCTCTGCAGACTCGGCTTCGTCTGTGTCCAGTCCTCCCAGTCAGTCCAGGTTCATGTCTGCCATCTACTGGTTGTGTGGGATGGAAAGACGAAGTGAGGCGGACAGCGACTCCGTGGCCCCGCCTGCGCCTGAGCAGATCATCTGCACTCTGGATGAAAAGCCAAGTCTACGGCACCTCGTCAACGCCAACCTCATCATTTGCCTCTCGGTAACGGTCTTCATCATCAGCTACTGGGCTTGAGGGGGAAGAACTCCAAACTGTACGAAAGTAATTCCTATCCCCTCGGACTGTTTCACGACGCAACCACAAACTTCAATGTGTTTTATTGGATCCTTATAGACAAATATGAATGAAAATACTCTCCAGCACGGCCTGCATTTCTATTCAGCTCCTTCCCTGACTCTGACACCCCTAAAATTGCCTCTAGAAATTAGCCAATTAGTAAACAGACTGGTATGTGATTTAATCTCGGTATTAATCTATTATATGGCACAACCAACACCCTCTAGCTCCATGGGCATACACAGCAGTGGCAACATAATACTGTGGGAATCCTTTTTTTTCTCTCCAGCAATGAAAGATGAGCTTTGGAAATACAGTTGGAGAAAATCTTTGCGATATTTTATGTAATATGAAAATATCAGTCTCTAGTTGTGATTGATAGTTTACTCATCATTTTCTTCCTACTTCATAATCATTTTAATTTGTGCTGGTCAATGGTAAATAAACTTAATCTATAAAGCCCTGTTTGCATTCAAACACAGATATTCACAAACGGGTAAGTGGCTCAGCACACAATCTGGGGTTAAATGACAGAGGAGAAAACTGGAATCAAACCCACAACTTTAAGCCTGAAACACACCTACTTTATCCATTTAGCCGCAGTCGCTCATAAAATACATTGAACCATTTGGTCACGTGGCTGTGAAAATGTCTGAGGTGGTACAAATGCTGCAAATATAAAATATGTACATATTATGTTAAACTGGAGTTAGCCGAAATTAACCAGAATAGTGATATTTTGTCCTTTAAAATACTGTTTCTATATATTATTTGCAAAGTGAATTATATTCAAAGTAAAGCCTGAAGAACAATCTCATGAGTTCACATTCAGCGTTGTTTTTTTTATGTGTCTTACTGGGTAAATATCTGTACTTGCAACCTATTTTCTAAAGATTTGAATAAAACTAATTATGTAGAACTATGATGCATTGTGTGCCAAAGAGTAAAAAAGACCACAAAGTCGTAGTGAATTGCTTTCAAAGAAAAAATAAAATAAAATAAAGATTTTTAATGTTTTTTCTGTATTTGGTCGAAGCTTTGATTTTGGAGTAGGAGTGATTACAAAAAGAAGATTGTCCCTTTTAACAATAAAAGCAAATCTTGACTCATCAAATAGGACTTTTCCCATTTCAAAATCAGCTTAGTGGACGTCAAAAAGGAATCCTGATTAAAAATGTGACAATCAAACCTCACCCTGTTGTCGTCTTCAAGACGTCTCTGTAAAACCACCTGAAAATGCAGCAACGAGCTCTGAACAGGCCATTAGCGGAAGACGACTGCATCTCTTATTGCACCCTTCCCAATGTATTTGGTCATCGCAACTCTTAATCTGTGCTAAACAACTCACAATCATCTTTGGCCTGTTAGCTTTCTTAATACCGCCCTGCAGACTGTGAACATTTCATTTCTGTCGGATGAAACAGCCAAATTTGGAGGATGAAAATTCTGTTTAGCTTCACGATAAATAACAGTTTGAATTCAAATGTCAGAGGTTAAAATCTCAAAACAAAAGCTAAAACTGCACTCAGATGCTCGTCTCCATAAGGATTCTTAAGCTTTGACACTTTGGCATAAAAACAAAGAGAGGTACAAAAAGGTGAAACTTCTCCAGCATTCTTCCCCCTTCCCTCCCCCCCCCCCTCAGTTAAGCTGCTGTATAACTCGGGTCCTTTAAGCTTTGGCTCTGCAATTCAATTTTTAGACACCTAGCAGAGCGTGCATCGATAAGAGTTCAATGTTGGAAGCGATGGCTGCACATGGGTTTTGTGGTGTAAGCCACCACCTTACAACGAGGCTTCTGGTTTGACTCAGTGGAGCAGACAAAGTATTAAAAAAAAAAAAAAAGCTGTTGGCATCCTGTAAGCAGACCTGGCGCCTTGTCTTAAATGAACAATAAAAGCTGGAGCGCATTCTACAGAGCAGTGTTCTCTGCCTCGATTTGGGGGGTTGGGTGCAGGGTGGAGGTGGGCTCTTGACCAGCAGAGCCCTTCACTTCTTGCTCCTCAATCACCTGAGGGACAAAAGCTCTTGTGATCCCCTTCATAACCAGGCCTCCATCTGCAAAAGAACAAAGAAACCCAGATGGAGCAGTCACCAAACACTTCATGAAATAAAGCCAACAGCTGCACACATACACACACACACACACACACACACACATATATAGACACACACTGCTACAAACTCCACATTCTTTAAGACACCAAGGACTCTTCTGCGATTTAAATATAATCAATTCTGCTAAAAATGTATGAGGGATTTTTTTTTTTTTTTTTTTCGGTTTCCTTGGTGTGTTAATCTGTAAATGCAACAAAAAATGTATGGCACAGATCTGGCTAAGAGCACTGACTACAGAAAGTACAAAAAAAAAGTCTGATCCTGTTTAGAAGCACGTTAGTCAGTGTCACAGCAAACAGTTAACAGACGGGGGGGTTAAACCTAAATGCAAGCAGGTTATGAACAGACAAATGTACAAAAACATGCCTTCACACATGAACATACAGGTGCATCTCGGTAAATTAGAATATCATCCAAAAGTTAATCTGTTAGCTAGCTGGAGACTGCTAACAGTTTTGCCCAACCTCCTCTGCAAAATCTTAAATATTTCACTCAAAGCGTTTCTTTCAGCTTTCTGCACCATCAATCTTCCCATCACCCATCCTGTCCCTGCTAAAAATGAAACCCCCGCATAATGACACCACCACCACCACCATGAATCACTGTTGTTGTGGTGCAATCAAAGTGGTGTACAGTGTTAGTTTTCTGCCACAAGTAGTGTTTTATATACAGGTTCTGTTTTCCCACATTTTCACCCCTTTTTATTTGTCAAAGATTAATTCCATTATGTTTTTCCTGTTCAAAATAAATGCACCATTTACTGCAGAAGTATCATGTTATGGTCTACACCAGTAGTTCCCAAACTTTTTCTCCAATGCCCCCCCAGTGGTTTCCAAACTATTTCTGGGCCCCCCTATGGCTTACAAATAGCTGCCTGGTTGAATGATATGTGTGAGCGAAGGGGGTGCGGGGTGGATTATTAGAGACTCCCTATTATACTCAGCCCTGGCTCCAGTGGAGGGGGGTGGAGGGGAATCAACTTTTTTCAGGGCAAAATTAATCGAAGCTGAACACAGACAACATCAGTAGCCTACAAGCTAATTGTTAACAAGCTTACGGTGCTGTATTGATATTAGCTAGTCATCTTTTAGCTAACATTACCTGCATCCAACAGCTTTACTCAACTCAGTCTGTTAGTTTGAGGGAAAACTGTGAAAAGTTCTTTGCGTTTTGCTGGTTTGCTGCCATGATTCTAACACACCTGTGTAGCTCTGCACAGCAGCAGCAGGTCTCCTTCACTGCTGCACAGGTGTAAGCGTCGTAGCGCTCATGTTGCATTTAAAGGCGGCTCGGAAAAACAGGTTACCACATGTTAACGGATTAAACAGCTTTAACTGCAGATAGAAGTGACAGAGGACACGGATATGGGAAGTGTGGAAGCTCCTACTGTATCAAATTGACATAGGAATAACAGAGAGTTGGCCATTCTAAGGTAAAAACCCAGTGCATACAGCATTCATGTTTTTTTTCACCCCCCCATCCAGACGGCTTCCCGCGCCGCGCGCCCCACAGTTTGGGAACCCTCTGGTCTACAGTTACGAGAAACACTGCTCACTTGGCATTTTACATTTTATGGAGTGTAAACCTGAAAATGTCATTGTTAAAGAGTGCCATCTCCAAGTATATCATTGGAAAGTTGAGTGGAAGGGGGAAAAAATGTGGTAGAAAATTATACATGCAACAAGAATAAATTAAAACCCCTGAGATAATTGAGAAGCAAAAACCCAGGGTCATTTTAATATTGGTGTCATGTGACATTTTTATTTTACAAGTGACTGTATTTTGTCTTTTCTTGATTGTTAGATATATATTGAATAACCAGAAACAAATTAACCTTTTAATGATATCACAACTTATTAAGATGCACATCCACCTGTCTGTGTTACAAGTATTAGACATGCAACAAAGCTCTAGTTGCTTTTTTCCCCCAAAACAGACAAACAAACATGAAGCAGCAAAAAGTGCCAACACACCCAGCCAATAGGAACCTTACCATCACCTGCCCGGCAAAGCTCATCCTACAGGCAGGTCGGCAGCTCAGACATCTGCAATGTTTACACACATTTCCTGTCATGCTTCAGATCACCACACAGTTCCGTTCAGAGTGACACAAATCGAGACAGTGAAACCATAAGAAGAAGCTAGAGATCTAAAAACAGCAGCACCCTAAGAGGAAGCTTCAGACGGTTATCGGCAGACGAGCAGAAAGGGGGAAAATAAATAAATAAAAAAAGATTGCTGAAGAGTTGCTGGAAGATGGCTGGAGATGTTGTTTTCTTCGCTTCAACTTGAACCAAAAAGAAGAAGAATTTTATTCAAAT